CCCTGTGCCCGGGCGCGCCACCCTCTGGGAGAAGCGCGGCCAGGAAGTCCCTTTCCCTGGCTGGCCCCGTCCGAGGTACACGTGGTCGGGGAACCGCACGGGGAAGCCTGGAATCCCCGCTGGGAGCAGCCTGCCAGAGCCTCTGCTGAGCAGGCCAGCCTTCCCGCAAGCCACGGCCCTGAGAGAGAGCAGCCCCTGCGATCTCCAGCTGCGGGACCATTGGCCCAGCTGGCTGGGAAGGCGCGCCGGAGTCCCGGCTGCTTTGTCAGCGAAGATTGTGAGGTGAGAAGAAGATGGGGGGGAGAAAGGGAGGGAGAGGAAAGAGAGAGGAAGAGGGGAAAGAGAGAAAGAGAGAAAGAGAGAGGAAAGAGAGAGAGAGAGGAAGCGCAAGTGCCTCTCTCTCCCTCTCTTTCTCTCTCCTCACCTGGAGAAAGAAGGGGGGAGGGAGGGAGAGGAAAGAGAGGGAGAGGGGAAAGAGAAAGAGAGAGAGAGAAAGAGAGAGGAAAGAGAGAGAGAGGAAGCTCAAGTGCCTCTCTCTCTCCCTCTCTTTCTCTCTCCTCACCTGGAGAAAGAAGGGGGGAGGAAGGGAGAGGAAAGACAGAGGGAAAGGGGAAAGAGAGAAAGAGAGAGAAAGAGAGAGGAAAGATTGAGAGAGGAAGCTCAAGTGCCTCTCTCTCCCCCTCTCTTTCTCTCTCCTCACCTGGAGAAAGAATGGTGGAGGGAGGGAGAGGAAAGAGAGAAAGAGAGAGGAAAGAGAGAGAGAGAGGAAGCGCAAGTGCCTCTCTCTCCCTCTCTTTCTCTCTCCTCACCTGGAGAAAGAAGGGGGGAGGAAGGGAGAGGAAAGACAGAGGGAGAGGGGAAAGAGAAAAAGAGAGAGAAAGAGAGGAAAGAGAGAGAGAGGAAGTGCAAGTGCCTCTCTCTCCCCCTCTCTTTCTCTCTCCTCACCTGGAGAAAGAAGGGGGGAGGGAGGGAGAGGAAATTCTTAGTTCCTGCATCGTGGTTTGTTCTTATGCCCTTTTTATATTTCTTTTTGCATCTTAAATTTCACTTGTAATTCAATCATTAAATGTTACTGTTGTTGGGGGGGCATTTCACTTTCTTGCAATTGAATTTTGTTTTCAGTGGTCATTACATTTAAGTGTCTTGAATAAATAAGATNAAAAGACTGGAAATAAATTATTTGCATTGATATGTCCTGATGACAATTTTAAAGAAAACAAAAAAAGTGTTTGCATAAATTGAAGAATTATTTCCTATGTTGTGATTGAGAGGTTATGTTGGGGGAGGGGGGCGATGACAACTTCCTCATTGGCTCAAGGGGGCGATTCGTTCAAAAAGGTTAAGAACCACTGATCTAGTTTGTAGTTGTTTTACCCACTCTGCTAGGGAGAAGCATTTGGACTGCTCCTGTGGGAGTTCTGGTATGGCTACAAATTCTCTTTTGGTAGCTATTCGGAAGGGGGCAAAGCCAGTGCTGCTATGTACTGCATTGTTATACGCTACTTCTTGAAATGGGAGCAGATCTGCCCAATCATCCTGCTGATAATTCACATAACACCTCAGGTACTGTTCCAATACGCCATTGGCATGTTCACGGGCACCATTAGTCTGAGGATGATGAGTGGTCCCTAATAATTTCAAGAACTCCTGTCAGAATTGAGAGGTGAATTGCACTCCTCAGTCAAAGATAATCCTCTTGGGAGCTCCATGCAGATGATAAATGTGTTGGCACTAACAGTTTTGCCAGGGTTCATGCAGACGGGATCTTTGAGCATGCTACGAAATGTACTTGTTTTCAAAAAAGATCAGTGGTAATCCAAATCACAGTGTTCCCAGAGCTCTCAGGTAGCTCAACAATGAAGTCCATGGGGATTTCTTTTCAGGGTGCTAAGGGGCTAGCAACTTGCTGCAATAGTCCCCATGGCTTACCCACCATCCTTTTTCTGCTGCACATGTAGGCAACTAGTCATGTAGCTTCTATGTCCTTTTTCATGCTCAGCCACCAAAACTGACGTCTGACCAGGTGGTAGGGTTTTAACAAAATCAAAATGCCCTGTGGTTTTAGAGTTGTGGCTCCTCTGCAAAACCAAGAGCCTTTGGCTGGCTGGCATATAGAGTTTACTGCCCACCCACGTGAGTCTGTCACACATGCAAACATTTTCCTTGTTCTTTAAGAACCATTCATCTTGGAGCAGGGCTGTTTTTATTTATAGGGCCGTGTCCTCGGCCAAGTTGGGCAGTGCTTTGCTCTGGGTTCTGGTGGCGACCGGTGTTGTTATCTGCATAGAAGCGATGATGGCGTCCACCACCTCCTCCTTAGTACTATTGTACTGAGGCATTCTGGACAAGGCGTCTACTAGGAAGTTTTCCCCCCCAGGCAAATACCTTAACATAAAGTTGAACCGATTGAAGTATTGCACCCACCTCACTTGTTTAGGGGATAGCTTTCGGGGGGTGTTCAGCGTTTCTAGGTTTTTATGATCAGTATAGACCTCGAAAGTTCCTTGTCGCCTTCCAAGAAGTGTCACCATGTGAGTAACACCCATCTCACTGCATAAGCTGTCAACGCTGCTAATATTGAATATTCTTGCTTTGACAAAATATGCAGAACTGTCTGGTACTTTTAGAGTTAATTCAGATGAGAAAGAGAGAGGAGAGAAAAGCCTGCGGAAGGGAACGGAAGTGAATCTTTGCCCTCCAGGTTAATTGGAAGATGTGAATCATGAACCCAAAATAGGGGAGGGGAAATGCCTGGAATGTTATGTGCAAAGGAAGGGAAATTCAGATCTTGGCATTCTCCATGCCGTGCTGACACTCCTTTTACACTAATAAAGGCTTTTTAGGTTAAACCATGCCTGAAAGTTCTTTGAAGTGTTTCATTAGTCAGACACATGACATCAGCCTTTTTTCCCAAACCATCCATCTACGTTCTACCTCAGGCAGTTTTTTAGAAGTGTAAGCGCACTTTCAACCTTTCCTGCCACAGTTGTTAAGTGAATCACTGTAGTTGTTAAATTAGTGACATGGTTGTTAAGTGAATCTGGCTTCCCCGTTCACTTTGCTTGTCAGAAGGTCGCAAAAAGTGATCACATGACCCCAGGACAGTGCAACCATCATAAATATGAGTCAGTTGCCAAGCGGCTGAATTTTGGTCACGTGACCATGGGGATGCTGCAACAGTTGTAAGTGTGAAAAATGATTATAACTCACTTTTTTTCAGTGCCATTGTAACTTTGAGCTGTCACTAAAGGAACTGTTGTAAGTCGAGGACTACCTGTATTAGGAAATACTTCAGAAATTCCAGTTTGGAAACAAACTGTAGGAGATGGACTAGCAGAGCCTGGGGGTGGAGTGAAAAGCTCTCAGGAGGGGATATTTGAACATTAAAGAGGGCTCAACACCATCTCCATCAATCTATGTTGCCTTGACCCTAACCTACAGGTTGGAAGAAAGGTTTGCAGCGTTAGTGGATTCGGGGGCAACGGCCAACTTTTATAGACTTCACAACTGTTAAAGCATTACAGATCCCTATAGTCTCTGAGGACTCCAATGCACTTAGAAACAATAGATGTCCAACTGTTGAAAGCAGGTCCGATTATACACACCATGACCCCGCTGCAACTGACTGTCATCCAACATACCGAGCTGTTAACCCTGTATGTCACGAGACACCTCCACTTTCCAGTTGTATTGGGATCAGAGTGGCTAAAGCTTCACAATCCCACAATAGATTGGGAGGCAAGAACCATCTTTTACTGCCCCGGCTTGCCATCATCACCATTCTCAGACAGCAAACCGTTTGCATCAGCTGGCCCTGAGCCCCAAGGAAGGAAATGCCAAGCTACCCAGCAATTATGCAGATTTCGCAGATGTATTTGGGGAGGAAGAAGCAGCAGTCCTTCCCCCACATAGAGTCTGCGTCTGTGCTATAGACCTGGTCCCGGGGGCTAAAATACCTGCTAAGAGGCGGTATCCCATGTCAGCTAAGGAGCTATCAATTTTGAAGCAGTGTCTGGACTCTAGCTTGCAGAAAGGCTTTATTAGACCTTCACAATCACTGGCTTCAGTACCACAAACCCAAACGGTGAAGTTCTCCTGAGGACTGTTCACAACTACAACTCCCTTAATGCTGTGATGGTGAGGGACCATTACCCACTGTCCCTCATATCAGACTTGCTGGATTGGTTGCAAAGCACATGCATTTTTTCCAAGTTGGATCTTTGCAACACTTACAATCTCATTAGAGTCAAAGAAGGCCATGAATTTTTAACTGCATTCAATACCAGGTATGGCAAGGTTGAATACACCATCATGCCATTTTGACTCTTTAACTGTGGGGCAGTGTTTTCAAGGTTTATGAACCAGATTTTTTTCTGATATGATTGACAAATTTGTGGTTTATCTGAATGACATCCTAATCTACTCTGAAGATGAATCTCAGCACAACCACCAGTTGTGCAAGGTCTTGAGTAAACTGAGGGAAAATCACCTTTTGGCTAAATTAGAAAAATGTTATTTTGACTTGAAACAGCTAGATTTCTTAGGTTACTACATTTCCACAGATGGAGTTCAAATGTACCCCCAGAAAGTCCAAGCAGGGCTTGACTGGCAAAATCCCCACACAGCAAAGGATGTTCAGAGTTTATTAGGCTTTGCAAACTTTTATAGAAAGTTTATCCCATGCTTTGTGCATAAGTTTAAGCCACTAACACAGTTGTTTAAAAAAGGAGTCAAATTTGCTTGGACACTTTGATTTGTCTCACTGTGAGCTGAGGTTCAGAAAACATTTAATTGGCATACCAAGACAGAATGGAGGTGAATATCTCATAATCATAGGCCTAATGGCTTTTGAGTAGACAGACCAAATATACTTCACTGGGAATATCTTGGTTTGTTCAGCCACCTTGTTTTGCTCAGATTTGAGCCAGTATGTTATTAACTATATTTTAACCTTATTCTTATGAAACATGAGCCTGAAGTGCTATCTTGTTCAATTTCAGGAGAAGAACTCATTTCTCAACTATAATGTTTCTTGCATACTGACAATGCCTCAGTACATGAGGCAAGGTTATGGTAAAATGCTTATCGATTTCAGTAAGTATATATATTTATGTGTTGACAGTAGATAATAATAGTAGCCAATGACCAATAATAAACTTACAGGTAGTCCTCAACCTACAACCATTCATCCAGTGACCAGAGTCCTTGTGATTGCAATCTGGGGATTTTGCAGCCCTTTTGCACTTACATTTGCAACCTTCCCTGCTGGCTTCTCAGAAAGTCAGTGGGGAAGCTGACAGGGAAGGTTGCAAGTTGCTGGGGTAAGTCTTCCCTGCCAGCACACCTTTTCCTAGCCTCTCTGTGCTTTGCCCAGGCCATTTGCCCACCCTCCCCAAACAGCATGGTGCCTCTCGTGCACCCTCACTGACCCACGTGATTCCTCTTGCACACCCTTGTGCACCGTCCCTGATTTGTGTCAAGCTCAGAGCAAATACTAATATTGTAGTACAGCCTCCATTATTTGCTCCCATCCTGATACATTGGATAGCAATATCTGTACTGTCTGGGGTAGTGGGGGTTTTGGCCTATGTATCGGAGGGGCCTTCAGATATGAAGGTTTCTAACTTTTCCCAGGCAATGTTATCTTTTCAACCAACTTAAAATTTGCCCTGCACGGCTGCATTATAACTGCATTTATTTCATATGTGCACTAAATCCAAGAAATGAATAAACTTTGGAGAGGTTTGCCCACCACAAAGTATTTAGGCTCTCAGATGATGGTGGGTTTACGGAGCCATGTATGGAACTGTGGTGGAAATAGTCTAAAAATATATTGAAGACCAAATTGCAAAAGAGTATGTGTGCTCCCTAAACAGGCTATTTACTCTCCAAAGTGGAAGAGAAAGTTGGCTCTCCAGAAAGGCCCCTCTCAGACCTGGGACTTATTAGCTACCGTAGTTACTGGAAGGAGGTTCTTCTCCGTTATTTGCATAATTTCCAAGGCAAAGAAATCTCCATCAAAGGTGGGTTCTACTTTTCTTCATCTCTCTTTCCTTAAATTCTACTCTCACTTCACTGTGGACATTTGGAGCAGCTTTTCTCAATTTGATAGAAAATGGAGACATTTAAAAATTCCCCCAGAGTCTAACTCTAATATGGGCATCTCATTTTTCACACCCTTGTACTCCCTATACCATACTCTTACCACAAATGTCTCTTCGACCAGTCCGCTCCCACAGAGAGGGCCTCCTTAGGGTGCCGTCGGCCAGACAGTGCCGGCTGGT